GGGGGGGGGGGGGGGTCGTAACTCCTCTTTTAGAGTCACTTATACCCAGCGTCCCTTTACGAAGCTCAAGAAATGTAAAGCAGAATTACCAGTCTCTTGGTCATCAAAAGATATATTTCCGGAGACTTTAACGCACGGCAACAAAAACAAACTAAAATTTATCGTTGCAACCTGTTTGAGCTTTTACTCTCTGGATTTTTCTTCTCTCCCCTTTCTTTCCTTTCTTCTCTATCTTCACTCGGTTTTTGGCTGGTAGGGAGGAGGGGGGGAGGGAGAGAATACCATCTTTCCCCCTGAAACCAGCAATGTCTGAATGGGGTTCATCAGTGCTACGTCTATCTTAAAAAAAATCTCACTTGTTCTGAAGGGAACTGATGAAACTACCTATTAACTTAGAAACGTTCTCGGTGGATGTCCGTGTTGCATATCGTCTCCAATGGGTCATACTCAGCAACCGGGTCGTAAGATACCGAGGCGACGGCATGACGGATCTCACTATAGAGAGTGTGTGGTTGTAACATTTTTTGCCCGATCTGTCAACTTTACTTTCCGTTCCGGATGAGTTCCCGAGTGCCACCTTCGTAGTTCCATCTTTCTTTATTCATGTGTCGTGGTCTTCGCTTGTTTAAATTTGAATAAAATAAGTCGGCCTACATACTTAATCGCTGGCATGGCGGTGCGCCTTCAGATTCTCCTCTGACTCACCAGTCTGTGCCGGCCGTGTCCGCTTGTGATCTGTGTGTGAATCACGGGTTAAGTTGCGGCTCTGGTTGTGGGCGGGGGGGGGAGTATTGGGGATAAATCTCATTTAAATCTGAATGTGGGTTGTTGGGTTGGGTGCACCTGCTGAAGCCGTGAGCAATTCAGGGAAATGTAGATAGTTGGACTCTAAGATGGATGTCTGGAACAAGATTTGATTTCAAGGATTGCTCCTTAAATTTTTGCCACCCCCTCCATACATATATTACATTCATTCCAGTTGCTTTTACAGCGCGCCCGGGCGCTCTGCGACACCTAATCGCCACTCTTGTGTATCGACCCAGAGGTCATCTGGTAAATGACATCTTGTAAAATCATCTTGAATGCCACCTATCCACGATTTTGCTGGACGTCCCTTGCGTCCCTTTTCAGGAGGAACCCAATCTAGTACCTTCTTTCTATCCCCTGCACCCATCGTAAATTGTATTTCCGGACATAACGCGCAATTTTGGCCTCGAATCCTCTCACCGAAGAAAAGTTTGGCCTGGGATTCCCCTTTGGAAAATATTGTATTACATCCGGTTAGAAAGGGGGAATAGCAAATCGTCTTAAACTGGTTTGATTCCAGTCCTTTTGACCAACGCCAAATTCTAACCTCTCCGTTTGTTTTTTTGTTGCAGATTTGAAGATGGCTTCTCCGGGCGACAACCGTGACGCAGGCTTCTGCTCGGGCGAAGACGAGGATCTAGACGTGGACCACGCAGACACCGACGCGGACAACTCGCCGACGGACGTCAGCGAAGACAGCGTCGACGTCAAAGTCCACGTCATCGGCGGCATCACCCAAAAGCGCAAGCTCACCGCCCGTTCGGACTCCAACCCCAAACGCACCAAACAAGAGGACTCGAAAACCCGAAGCCCTTTCCGACCGTGGAGTCACGAGACACCCCGTCCGCACATCCCTGCGCCTCCTCTAGTCCCATGCGGCTACACGCCTCCCTTATGCCGCCCCATCGAGCAAGCCGAACCCTTGTCGTTAGTGGTCAAGACCAGGGACCGGATCTACAAGCCCAAGTACGCGGGCCGACTCCGCGCCTCACCGGAACCCATCAAGGCAGAACCCATCTCTCCCACCTCGGAACCAATCTCGCCACTTCTGAGGCCACCGGAGCTCACTGCCGTCCCCAGAGAGTCCCTTCTCGGCCACGTGGCATACCCAATGCACCTAGTTCCTCCTATCGGACAAGACCGAATCCCCGTCTGGCCGCCGCGAGCCACTCCCAAAGAGCCAATCTCTCGAGACTTGAACCCAGTCTTTCCCGCCGAGTCAATCCCCAGCCCCAATGTGATCCGATCTCCTTCGGAGACCGTAACGATTGACGCCACGTCGAGCCGGTCTCCAGGATACGTCTCCGCGGAGCCCGTGGTGAGGTGTAGCGTTTTAAGGCCACCCTCCGTTTCCGAGGATCGAGTCCCGCGGCCTGAATCTCTACTCAGACCCAACGGCCTCAAGCGGGAGCCTAGCCCCAGTCACGGACCCCCGAAGCTGCGAATCAAGATGGAACAGCGGGATACCGATGACAGGTTGAGTAGGGTACCGGAGGATTCGTGTGGACGATTCGCGGTACCGGAGGATCCGAGTGGTCGGTTCGCGGTACCGGAGGATCCGAGTGGTCGCTTCGCGGTACCGGAGGATCCGAGTGGTCGGTTCTCGGTACCGGAAGATCCTAGTGGTCGCTTCGCGGTACCGGAGGATCCGAGTGGTCGGTTCGCGGTACCGGAAGATCCGAGTGGTCGGTTCTCGGTACCGGAGTCGGGGGACCTGAACCCGGCGTACCGGGAGGTGACGGTGAAGGAGGAACCGGAAGAGGAGCCGCGGGAGGGGAGGAGGAAGTCTAGTCAGCAGCAGCGGAACTACAAGAACATGACGCGCGAGCGGCGGATGGAGGCGAACGCGCGGGAGCGAACGCGGGTGCACACGATCAGCGCGGCGTTCGAGACGCTGCGCCACGCGGTGCCGGCCTACTCGCACAACCAGAAGCTCTCCAAGCTCTCGGTCCTCCGGATCGCGTGCAGCTACATCATGACGCTGTCGCGGATCGCCGGCCTGGACTACAGCGCCGACCAGAGCGAGCCGTCCGTCGCCTCCTGCGTCGAGAACGTCTCCCGCACCATCCAGATGGAGGGCAAGCTCCGCAAGAAGAAGGATGAGCATTGAAACAAGTACATTTGACTGTGACGTTGTTGAGCGCAAGATACACCTGCTTGCCAGACGCGCGTCTAGACGCCAAAAGTAGGATCCGATCCTGCTTTCAGCAAGTTGTAGCCTGATTGGCTACGGAGATTGCCGAGTACGGCTGAAGGCCTACTCGCCACTCAAGACGCGCGTCTGGTTCGCAGGTGTACCTGGCACTTTAGATATAGTTCGGCACTTGTATCCACCTAGTCCTTTTCACATTTTTTTGTCAGACCACTCGATCATTTTTACTTCATACAACTGTGAAAAATTTTTACTGACCTGTTCACCTGTCCACTGGTGGTGAGGTTTAAAGTGTTCAAGTGAAGTCTAAAATGCGGGAAACACGATCCCTTTCAAAATTACTATACGCTAGGTAGAAAGTCAACTTCACCACAATTTGCATAGTTTTTCTCCCAATTTGGGCCCAAAAATTGTATTATCCTCCTTAACGTCATTCTTAAAATGTTTTCTATACTGTTAAGCTGAGCCTCCTTTTTCCTTGTAACGTAACTGCTGATTCACGTTTCTCAAGTTGTTTGCGGGCATCTTCTAAAATGTTTTCAAAACTAAAAGCCTTGGTATCGCCGCTCAAAGTGTAAACTAACCAAAACAAAGTCTCCTCTTTAGACGCTCTGTAATTAATTTTCTCTTGTATCTCTTTCAATATACCCTGAAATGGCCTCATTTCTCCATTTTTTTCTTCTTTCCAACTGTTCAATTATATATAATGTGACAATACACTTCAAAAGTAAACATCCATCTAGACCCAACAGTCGCTGTGCGACTCGGGCTAAAAATCTGATTTATGTACGCTGATCAAATGCACCAGACATGTCAGCAAAAAAATGTGCCACAATTGGTGCACTCAGATGTGCTTAAAGTTTGTTTTTGTAGAATAAAAACTTTGGACGTGTTGTAATGACTGTTGCTTGAAAAAAATCTGTACCTCCGACCTTTAGGAACTTATTTTATAGTGGTTTAAGCGGCGTAAAACGGTTGCAGTACTTCAGATAGAGTCAATTTTTTGTGCCTTCGGAGTTGCAGCTGGGTAGGATTGTTGTGTTAAAAAACTACATGACCGTTTTTTTCTTAGTTCCTCGTAATGCGTCTGGATCGGCTTCAACTAAAAATCTGTGCCATTAAATCATGCAAATGCCATGTAATGTATTCATGGATTCAAATGTATTTAAGGAAGTCGATGTAAACACCCAGACAGTGTCTTCACCCTCCAATTTCCGGATGGCACGTCAGGTAGGAATCTGAGAAGGAAAAATTTCTTTCTCATTTATAATGCGTCAAAGACGCTGTTACATATTAAACATTTTATGCTTTTGTTTAAGTAACCTATAAAATGTTTAATATCAATTCAATTTATTGTTTCCTCCAACTGATCACATTGAGTTGCAAGGACCAAGAAAAAAACAGCTTGGAATAATTTTTGCCTCTGACACGCTCTTTTGGGTGTTCATAACTTGAAAAATAGTCAATAATTCCGCTTTATAGACATTAAAATAGAAAACTGTTTTCCGAACAATTCTTTCCATTTCTTTATGCATTATACTGGTTTAAGCGCATCATTTATGCTCAAATATTGGCTGTAATGTTTGTAATTTGATATTGAAATCGTCTTGAATTCAGAAATTTTCTTTTCGTTTCATCGCCTACTCTACTATTGCCATTTGTATGGACAATTTTAAAGAGTGACGGATTTGATTTGGTATTTTCGCGCTTTAGTAAGCTAACTTTTTGTCAAGGAACTTTCCTGAAAAAATGCACCCGTTTGTTCGGAATAATCTTAAGGAGAGAGAGTCATCAGCGTAATTTTGGTGAAAACATAATGTACGTCAACCATGAATTTGAATTTCTATCAATGTATATGCACAACTTTGACTTGCCCAATGATTTGTGCAATAAAGTGGAACTCATACTTCTAGTGTATCAATGTCAAATCGAATCTGTTGAAAAGATGCCGAGTGTAGCAATCGTATTATTTCTAGTTATTGTCCCACGGATATTCGGGTGCGATCATTGTTGAAATATGTTGTATATCTGATAATATCACCATCAGAGAAAATAAAAATTCCAAAATTAATTTATGTACATACATTCACGTTATTGTATAAATCAAATGTTTTATTAAATTATTTCGTCTTGTTTATGCTCATAAGTACCTCTAATCATAAGTATTAATATGCTTGAATTTGCATATAATTTATTGAGTTTGTAAACATAATTTTAACATTGATATGCGCGTTGGTTATTTTTTATTTTGTTATTTTGTGATTGTTTTTTTTTTCAATTTTTGAAATACCAGTTGAAAGTATTTATATGAATAAAATTATTCAGACTTTTAAGCCCATTGTTTTTCTTTACAAAGAAAGCTCCAAATTTTACCTTTTTTAAACGACTACAGCTTATTTGTAACTTTAAAAGAATCACAAGTAATCTCCTTTCCGTATAACACTAATGGTAATGGTGCCAAAATAATTTTAAGAACTTGATACGCAATTTTATTTTTGCTTTAAAAAAATCTTTGTCAGCTGTGATTGATGGAGGTACGTCTGCGAATTTTTTCCAATCATGTATTGACGTCAAAAATTTTGATGAGCTCTATGAAACTACGAGTGCATCAAAAGAAATTGTCAAATTGTCGTCAATAACCAGGGCAATTACCTCCAAAGCCAAGTTATGTTTTGACAACTTTCCAACTAATTTACACCTAGCACAGTTTTGTGAGCAAACATGAAAGTGCTCGCTTCATTTCAAATAACTCAAACTTTTCTGCTCTTTTGGGGATGACATTGCCATTAACTTTGCCACACTAATCAGTTCCATAAAAGTGTATCGATTCTACGATCACGCTACTTCCACCTTAAGACTTAAGTTTCCATCACTTGTTGCGGGGAAAAATGTGATAAATTTTTCCAAATACGTTGTTCAATGATTGGGGAGACATTGGACCTCTGTTGACTTGATTGAAGTATATGACGCTGAAATCAATAAAGTTTTACCAATGCGTGGAAGTATTTGCACGATAAAAAAAGTGTAAGAATTTGATATATCCCTCATTTTTGGGGAAATACCTCCGTTCTTAGCCTTGAAAAAATAGGGAAGGGAAGTCCGTTGCAATACGTATCCAGTCAATGACACAGTCTCGTGGATACTTATTAATAAACTGTCGTATTTAAAAGCAGAAATTCTGCAAGATAGAGGAAGGATTTACTTATAATTGAAATTTTTCGTCTTTGGAAAGAGGAAAGGTGAGAGCATGTGCCTCGCAGTTCAATGCTAACTCCGGACAAGTTTCCAAGAATGTCCTTTGAGCCGATGTGCCCCCTTTAACTGTTCAAGAGATGCTTCAATTTATGAATAGAAAAATTTTTGTTTTGGAACCGCACTGAAGAAAAAATCTCGGTGTATTTACTAAGAAAAGGGTAAAATTACCAAGAATTCAGGGTTTTCTTTGATCCCAGTTTTTTCTTTGTAAAATCATCATTTATGGAATTGGTAATTTCACCGAGAAATCTCGGTAAAATTATTGAACTTTCTCGGTAATTTTACTGGACCTTGGTAAAAACGCCAATATTTTTTATCGACTATGGGAGAATTACCGAGATAAAATGGCAAAGTTACCGGGAATTGATTACCAATAAAAGTGGTATTCTTACCTGAAAAAACAGTAAAAATACCGGTTTTTAGGTAAGTTTACCAGTCTGTCTTGGTAAAATTACCAATAATTGGTAAAAAAGTGAGATGGTAAAGTTTCTAACGGACCTTGGTAAAAACTCCGAGAATTTTTTTCAGTGCGAGCTTTCAATATATTGGACACGTAATGCTCTAGTTGCATTCATTTGGACGTATTTCTATCAAACGGAACTAAGCGCCAATTTGAGTTCCTTTTGAGGAATTTAGAATCCCGGATAGCGCGTTCTGTCAAACGGACCTAAGCGCCATGGAAAAGCATTGCGAGTATAGGACGGAATAAGTCGGACGCCCGATTCCGCCGCCAATCCAAGCCCCCCCTCTACCTTCCTCACCCTATGGCGCTTAGGTCCGTTTGATAGAAATACGTCCATTTATGCCTCTAGGAAATTTAATTCTGCAATAACATCGATCCAATTTCAAAAAATGAACCAAAATAATAATTTTTCAAAGTTGCATTGGAATTGGAGTTTAACAACTCGAGAATCACTTCATTAATCAGGATATTCATAATGTGAGAGACAAACCAAGCTAAAATTAAGCTCTGTTGTAAGATCTTATGATTATTACTTTAATATACAAATGAACAGCTTTGCGCGTTTTATTTTAGAGTTTTATTTATTTATTTTTAAAAAATGAGGCATTAATAAATTCTACTAAAGATTGTCTTGAAATACATTTCTCAACAAATTCATCGTCAAAATTTTATTTTAAGCATCAAAAAGCGAGTTAGAACTTTCACTCCGCTACAACGCCCCGTAAAAGTTTTATCCATTCAGAATAAGCCGGCGCTCAGATTCGCCTAATGATGAAGAGTGACGAGTGACGAAAGAGTTGAGTTATTGTTTAAGCAAGCCGAACTTGCAAAAAATCGCCTGACAAATTGCGTACCTCAAAATTTATCATTCAACACTAGACAAATTATATGCTCAACAAATCACTCATGGATCGGACTATACATTTTTCGATTGGGAGCTACAACTTGTGGCTCATCCGTAAAAAACAATTATTTGCATAGGGAAACCAATGATGCACGCGTTGTTCCTAAGCTGAGCCAGACGTGTAAGTTCCCAATTGAGGCGCTGGTAGAGGTGGTTTCTTGGTTGCAGTGACTCAGATCTCGGTAAACGTTTTGCTGACAATACTTAAAGGAAATGCATGGAATTCAGCAAAACTCTTAGTTAATTTTCTCTATGATTTTACAATCGTGAAAACTAAACATTTCATTCATTCACCCACTTCAGCTAGGCTCCTGCCTAAAGAATAACACAGGCGTGGAAATTCTGAAAGACCGCAACCAAGAAATGCCCTTTCTGCACCTAACGCCTCAATGCTGCCCCACTAAGGAAGAACGCCGTATGAACCACCATGTATTGCCAAATCTATTTTGAAAAAATACGAATCTTCAGGGAAACTTTAGTACATTTTTCTACCAATTTTTCCGAGAATTCTAGTCGCAATTTTATCTACAGTGTCTCCCTGGTAAAAATTGGCAGTATAATGCGTGTTCCAAAATACTATAGACCTAAAGCCGGCTGTAAGATTGCCAATAGCTTCTATAGCCGGCTGTACAATTTCTTATAGCCTTTTATAGCCGATGGCGATTAAGCAACAGCCATACGATAAAGTTTATGCTAAACGTTACTAAATACGGATACTAGGACTTAGTTAGTTTTTGGACTACCGCTCTCTTTTTGTGCCGTAATACCTTGATTGATTTTGCGAGGATAGCTCCGTGCTTTTGAAGGATGCCTGTCATTCTTAATATGTTGGAGCGCCTTCAATTTCTTATGATACTGTGCAATACCTCTGGTGTGAAATAGTTGCTTCAGACGCCGTGGCACGCTTCGGCGCGGCGGACGGGCAGAGAGCGCGAAACGCGCATTGGCGCCTACAAACCTAACAGGGATACTTCACGCATTGCGCAATGCGTGAAGTATCCCTGTTAGGTTTGTAGGCGCCAGTGCGTCGCCACTCCGTTTTGTGTTAGGCTCTAATATTTAATCTCGCGGAGTCAGCATTTATCAACTCATGATTTTGAAATGTTTGCACACTCTGTGTGAACTATTCTCATTTTGATTGATGAAAAAAAAATGTTTTAAAGGAAAATATAATGTGTCTTTTGTAAATATAAAGGTAGTTCCGTATCAAACTTAATGATTACCGAAGCACACGAATTTCTACACAATCTCTTATAGCATTTTATAGCCAATGGGCGATAAAGTGTAAAGCCCGGCGATAGGAACTATAGCCCGACTGTATACTTTTTTATAGCTTCGTATAGCGCGGCTATATGTTTTGCTCCGCTTTCTACAGCCAGCAATAGCCCTCTTTAGTCGGCTATAAGAACTCCTATGGTATTTTGAAACGCAGCTCCTATCGCCAATTTTTACCAGGGCTAAAAATTTCAAGGTAAAATATTTCTAATTTTCTCAAAATGACTGTCTCACAGGGGGAAATTTGGCAACACGCGTATGTTCATACGGCGTTTTTCCTTAGCACGGCGCAATGGTAAAATGCAATCCAATCATGAGTGGGGTAAAAGTGGCGATGACCTCCTAACCTGACTTCTGCTTCCCTCGAATACATTGCTTACATCTGGAGTGCAGGGCCTCTAAAATATGTCGTCTCTGATTTCGAGTTTATTCATGTGTAATAGGAGGGAATTTCACTTTTAAAAGTAAAGAACCTCTCCATTGCTTATTCATCCAGAATCCGATCAAATGGAGAATTTGCAGATGCCATACATTTTGTAAATTTCATCTTTACAATGAGACTACTAGGAAAACTGTTTATGAGGATTTCCTTGGGTTCAAAATTGAACAATTGGAGAAGATACGTCAGAATAACCTAATCTACCAAAAAACATGTGTTTAAATGGAAAATGCCGCCAGATGACGTCACAAGGCGGCACATTTTCTCATTTTAAAATCAATTTTTCTCCAATTGCCCATGTCGGAAAAAATTATGAAAAATACCGCGAACTCAGCTCATACAGCACTCTCAGATGAAGCGAGAACATTTTTGTGTGCAAAGTCTCCATTATAATTTGTCGCATTTCCCCGAACGAGGAACTACGTTAAACGGGCGTTCAATGCCCCGCAATCGTGTGACACCTGATTGAATCATCGATGGATCATCGAGTGAGCCGGCTGGAGGCGATGCGATGTCGTTTCGCCAACTTTTTGCTCAATCGATTGCATAAGCGCATCCATCCACTCGCGATGGGAGGTTGTATTGGGTGTATCGATGATCGAATAAAAACGATGTGACTCACGGAGGTCGTCGCGCACCAGGACGAGGTGGATTCGGGATCTTCCTCCGCGGTCGCGGGGAATCCTCGCGGGCGACGTCGTGACGTCATGCAGGTGATTTCAGTCCCACCC